CTATCTAAATAAACACGGTAAAAATTGTAATAGTGAAGGCATGATAGGATGATACCGAAAACGCGAATAAGCCAGGGCAGAAGGGAAGATACCACAATTGTTTTGCACAAGTTTGGTCAAAGGATCGGCTTCACTTGTCTCTGTGGTGTGCTAAGAATGGCGATACTCACTGATAATGCCAACGATGCCGGCGAAACGTTTGGGAATGTTCCACGTCCACGGTTCAACTTTGGAAATGATCATGCAGACAATGGCCCTTTGGGAATGTACCACGTCCACGGTTCAACTTTGGAAATGATCATGCAGACAATGGACCCCGGACTAGGTTGCGAAAACAAGGTCAAACAACGTCTAAATGTATTCATGTTTGATTTTATGTTAAATGCTAGTTTAGATAATTTAAGACGAAAAATTTGGGAAGTAAGGTTGTTTAATTAAAAAATACATATCGGAAAAAAATTGCGAAAATCATATACCTGAAGATTTTCATGAAATCTTTCGAGCCAGATGTACAGCTGAAGATGAGCCAGAGCCAGGGCAACCGGTATTTGAGCATCTTTCGAAGCCTCAGCAGCCATATCGTAAAACCGTTTCGCCAAATGAATGTCCTTAAAAAGCAAAAAATAAGCTTTTCAGAAAACGCCTAAGGGCCGATGGCTAAAAAGGATGACTTTCTTAATTGCCCTAACCCTGTTAGAAATAAGCGGCCGATCGAGGAATAATCAAGTCAAAATTTACAGCCATATTCATGTCGCAAGTAATAAATATAATTTTGGTCTGTATAAATCTACTTATTTCGAATGATTTGTGTATAACGACTGTAAAATTACATTCTCATTGTAGTGATAAGCCGATCCCGGCGAACTAAACTAACTCAACTATCACATGTAACGGGGAAAAGGGATATCCTTACAAAAAATACGCAGATATATGCATAATGCACAAACTTACTTGACGAGCATAGATTATTACTAATACAGTAAACAATGCCAATTTGATCCATTCGAATGAATAATTTTGACAGATTGAAATATCGTATATGTACCAACAAAAACAGGAAATAAAAAGATGTCTTGAAAAATAAAAATAGATGGATTTATTCTTACGATCTCTTGTCTTTCTTTCAGATTCTAGTCTTTTTTGAGTTCATATGTTCTTAATGACGTTAGGCGGATTAGATCATGTAGTTCGCAATAGTTGAATTCGTCCTACATCAGATTGACTAGGTATTTTCAGTAAGTGACCCGACAATATCCGCTCTAGAGTGCATACTTCCCAGCAATTTCTATCACTTTATGCTTTTTGTCGACTTCTTGGTGGCCCAGAACTATCTTTTCTTAGGCTACAGCCTTCTTTGTCTTGCATATCCTG